GGCCTTTAGTCGGAGGATCATTGACGGACCCCTGAATGGCATTGACTTGAGCACCCTTCAACCAAAGCTCCCTTCCTTTCTTCACAGCAACAACCATGCATTGTTTGGCGATCTCATGGTCTCCTCGAACATCGACCATCCCAGCGTCAATAGGGAACTTCATGACTAGGTGGTAAGGAGAGTAAACGACCTTGGTCTTACACATCCAGGGTCGGTTTCGTATGATATTAAGAGGTGCAACCACGTCCACAACAGCAAAGTCTCACATGACCGTTTTCATAGTATGATAATGTGGTTGGAGAATCCCACAAGACGATTGGTTGAAGGTCACAACATGGACTTGTCAAGACCCTAATTCTTGAAGCAATCATAGTATATCACATCTACAGAGCTTCCATTATCAACATAAACATGCCTCACTTCTTGGTTGGCCATGATGGCCGTGATTACGAGGGCATCAGCGTACTCCACGTCTCCCGTCACAACGTCCATCTCTGAGAAGGTGATGGCCTCATCTGACTTCAACCTCTTGCATTCACTTTCCCCCGGGGGTCGGGTGATAACGGTCAAATTGTTACATAAAAGCATCACAATTAACTCTGTATTTAGTAGGAAATTGGGGGGTATTTCCTAGCATTAGTGCATTTTACTTAACTCGTCTTTGTGTTTTTGTTAGGTAAGGGCTGGATTGAATAATTGCTGAAAATTGGAGGCCAAGGGAATAATTTATGGGCTGCTGAGGTAATGTTGCTGAGCTGGACGAAGAAGCAACCCCTTAGACAAGAAGCATCTTGTCATTAATGACTATGTCTCCTCAAAGAGGCATGCTTGTCCCCCAGCTGCAATCTCAGCCACCTCTGCTGATCAATGAGAGCAATGCTGCCACTGCTAGAAGAAGAAAAGAAGAACAGCCAAGTTGGATTGCAGGCTCAAGACATTGGGAGGATTAAACAACTACAAGCATGGGGAGGCTATCTTGGAAGAAGAACCGGCTTCAAAGCTCTATAAAAGGAGCTGCATTCCCAGCATGAAGATATATCTGAGTGGACATACAACACACAAAACACAACAGAGAGAGAAGAAGAGAGCAGAGAGGGGAGAAAACTCCAAAGGAAGAAAAAGTCCAGTAGCAGAAAAAGAGGAGTAACAGACCTCACTCGCCCTGAGTGACCTTTGTCACTCAGGCGAGTGACCTGTTGCTCAGCCATCCAGATTTGCTTCTTCTCAATGCTTTCCTTCTTTTCTTGTATTTTCTGTTGTTTGTATGTGTAGTTAATTAGATTTCATTCTCTGGAACCTATGTAGTTTAAGTTTGTGAATACATTCGGATGATTTTGTGCTTTGAAGTTAAAGCTTTCATCTACCTCTTGATTAAATTGGCCATTTGATTGATTGTGCACAGAACTAAGTGAATCCCGGAAGGGTAAACTAGGTTCAGAATCATTTAGCTTCAACTTATGACTTGGAGGTAACAGTCCAAGGTTCTAATTGAGATAGGAATATACTTGGTTAGCATAAGCATTCATATAAGGCTTGAAAACTTCATGACTTTATGACTTGATTAATCATTGGAAAATAGTTTAATTGTATTCATAAAGATACCTCTAGGAAAAATCGGAAGTGACTTAGAGATATATAAGTGCCTGAATGAGCATGAATTCATACCAAAAGAGTGCAAGATTACAACTTGATTACATAGGGAAAAGAGAATGAATATCCAATTTGTTGAGTCAGTCCCTTGAGTCGGAATTCTCACTCCCGTGAGTGAGGTTCCATTTGTCTTTCTTTGTCTTTAGTTCTGCAGAGTCACTTGCCTGAGTGACTTAACCCACTCGTGCAAGTGAGTGACACTCTGCAACTTTCTTTCTTGTTTGTCCAATTTCGTGTTTCGGTTATTTGAAGTTTAACCCGTCCCTGTGGGATCGACCTGACTTATCCTATCTACAGTTTAAGTTGGTAAATTATTTTGGGGGCTTCGACAACCCACCATCGAGGTCGGGCATGCCGATGGAGGGACAAGATGCTCTAAACGCCTAAGCAGGTCCCATATATGGCATTGACAGGGGCAGCTAGGACTTGTTGGGCTTGTGCTTCGTTGGGAGCCTTCGCCCCGCCCTCGAATCTGGCCTCACCTTGCTTTGCCTTAGCTTGATTGTTGTTCCTCCTTTTACACCTTTTGTTATTGCGGGGTCGGTCTCCAGCGCCGTCGCCTGGTTCTTCTTAACATACTCTTGGAACTTTCCACTTTTCAGGCCATCCTCTATCTCCTGCTGGAGCTGACGGTAGTCTTCAGTGTCGTGTCCTCGACCTTGGTGGAAGTCGCACCACTCGTTCAAGTCTCTAGAATGCTTGAGCTTTGAGGGAGCCTTCAACTCACCTTTGTGGATTTGAAGAATCTCCTTCCGGGTCATGGTGAGAGGAGTCAATTCCTCCTTTTCCACCTTTTGTTGTTGCGGGGTCAGTCTCCAGCGCCGTCGCCCTTGTTCTTCTTAACATACTCTTGGAACTTGCCACTTTTCAGGCCGTCCTCTATCTCTTGCTGGAGCTGACGGCAGTCTTCAGTGTTGTGTCCTCGACCTTGGTGGAAGTCGCACTGCTTGTTTGAGTCTCCCGAATGCTTGAGCTTTGAGGGAGCCTTGAACTCACCTTTGTGGATTTGAAGAATCTCCTTCCGGTTCTTGGTGAGAGGAGTTAGTTTAACTTCGAACTTCAGGGTCCCTGCGTTCAACTTCCAATCCTCGTTCTTTCGATCCTTCTTCTCTCCCCCGCCGAAGGACTCTCGGGCTCAGCACAATGACTCCTCTTTCTAAACCTCCATTTCTACAATCTCCCAGAGTTTTTGGGTGTTTTCTCAGGGCGTTTGCTGGTGAGCTTCCCTCAAAGTGCAGCCCTCGCCCCGAACGGAGACAACCCATTGACAAACTCAGTGCGCACCACTAAGTCATTAATTTGATCAATCAACATCAACTCCTTGTTAAACTTGTTGTAATATTGAGCTAGAGATTCATTCCTCCCTTGGCGAACCGATCCCAACTCATGGATGGTCTTGGAAGATTTTTTGCTGGAGAAGAATCGAACATGAAGCATACGACCGAACTCCACATAAGATTGGATGCCCCCTGGGGGCAAACTATCAAACCAAGTCTTTGCATGTTCCGTCAGGATAGTGGGCAAGGCCTTGGCCATCAGTTCTCTGGAGGCACCTCGAAGATCCATAGCTGCAGTGTAATCGGCTAAAAAACTCACCGAACAAGTATCACCCCGCACTTCTTGATGTCTTCTGGCAACTTGAGGTTATCAGGTTTGGTACAAGTCCGTATATGCTCAGCGAAAGGACTTCGGCTAGATTTACACCCCCTCAAGATGGACTCCAATCAAGCATCGACAATAGGTGCGATGGTGGGTCGATCACTATTTCTATGATCCCGCTCTCCATTGTTTGAGGGTTCCTCGGTCGGTTCCTTCCTGTCTGTCCTCTTGGGCATTCGACCTTCAAGTTTGTCCTGAGCCGGATCCTTATCCGCCCGCTTCTCCTTCACCGTTTGATGGCTGTTATGTCGATCCTCCTTCGCTTTTCCATAGTACGTCTTTTCAAACCAATGGAACCTCCCTCTAAACTCGGGATACTTCTATGCAAAAGCTTCCCAGAATTTTTCTTCGTGGGACCCTGGGGGAACATTGGACTTCTGAGGTTTCGAGGACCGTCGGGAGCGGTGATGGCTTCCGTCTGAACTTTGATCCTTCTGTCTAGAACGGCTACCCTCTCTGTCCCCGCGGTCATCTCGTTGATCTGCCCCTCGATCATCCCGAGGGCGAGACTGGTCCCTCTGAGAGGAAGGATTGTCGTCCCCATGGGATCCCCCGGCTCGTCCGTTAGTACAGGATGTCCGGTCGGCTTTGGTATCTCGACCCTTCGAGGAATGTCGAGAGCTCTCTCTCACCACCTCCGATCTAAGTATGGGCCTCCAACTAGGATCTTCCTCAGGCCTCGTCCTAGTGGAGACCATGACTCTCGTAGAGCGCTTGGGCTCGCCCTCGTACAAGTATAAGCCTGCCCACAGTTGGCGCCACTTGACGAAGGCAAATCCCAATGGTGGTGAGTGGATGGTCCCTCTAGGTCGGAGACCTGCAAAACAAGGATTAGCACTCCCACTACAAAAAAACCTGTGAGTACCCACGACCCAGTTTCGTAGGTAAAATGCCTAAGTAGTCGTGGGTGAATTGATTCTTCCATGACTTACCCACGAAAATGAGTGCGTGGGAGAATCGCCTGTGGGTAGTCATTCTCTCACGATCGGTCAACGCTCCATGGGTAAATTCTCTCACGGAAATTGAGGGTTGTGGGTAATTCACCCACAACAGTTTGTGTATTTCGTGGGAGAATGGTTTCTGAAACAATGCAATTGATGAGAATTACCCACCACTTTCCGTGGGTAATCTGTGGGAGAAATAATTAATGAATGATTTTAACAAAAACTTTTATCCACGACTTTCCGTGGATAAATCGATGGGAGAAATAATTAATAAAGGGTTTTAACGAACACTTTTACTCACGAATATTCGTGGGTAAATCCGTGGGAGAAATAATGAATAAATAGTTTTTGTGAATACTTTTACCAACGAGCCTTACTGCATGAAAAACTTAATTGGTTTATTTTATAATTTTTTTACCCACAATTCTTTCCATGGGTAATATTTTTAAAATATATTTTAAAATATGCAATTTATTTTTTCCCTGGTATCCCTATACTGTAGCACAATACAATTTTTAAAAGTGCACATCTAAAAATTATAAATAAATAACATATTAGTGTATTAAAATTCATGATCATACAATAGATCAGAAAGTTACACATTAATGAATCGAAACCAAACTAAAAAAGTTCATATAGGTCACTACTTAGGTTGATTATAAACCAATTATACTAAGCAAAGTTCATAGAAGCTAATTAGGTAACCTGAAAATAACATTTGGGAAGTATCAATCAAGACTATAATCATCAGCCCTCCATTGAACTTCCCTCGGAATCAGGATCATTTGAATTTGGATCACTTGCCGTAGCTTTTGACCCTTGGAGAGACTCATCATCATTAGCTTCAAAATCTGGCGCAGGTAAACCATTTTGCCTGCAAAAATTCTCCATGGTAGTCCTCCACTTATTCATGGAACTGTTCATCTTATCCATTTTCAAAGCATATGCATCAAGCTTCTCATTCAAAGCTTCAATGTTCTTCTGCCTTTTGTCTACATGGGAATGTGCTGACTTTTTGCCATCCGAAGGAAAATAGGAAGTTGCTTTAGAGCCAAGACCGTATACCTTTCTTTTCTTCTCATCTGCAACGACATCGTAAAAAAGTGCATCTTCATTGAGTCGACGGTTAAAAACCCCTTCCTCAGCAAAAGCCTGAAGAACTGAGTCTCGTAGAGCCACATATTTCTCCTTTAACATGCAATGCACACAAAAAACCATGGTCAACACTCACAACTGATTGGGAGTATTCAATAATCAATTCAAAGTTAGTGAAGTATCATTTCAGTGACAATCATCAACAATTTCAGATTCCCCTGAATAGCATCATCCATTTCACAATCCATAGGATAAAGTCAACCATTTAATTCATACAAAAAAGTCAAGGCTCATAGTTGAATGAGTATTCAATAAGCAATGCAAAGGTAGCGACATATCAACTCTTTGAAAATCATCAAGAATTTCAGAATCCCCTGAAGATCATCATCCATTTCAGAATCTCCAGGAGATAAACAACCATTTCAGCCATAGAAAAAATATAGTCACAGTTAAAGGAGCATTCAATAAGCAATCAAAGTTAGCAACTTATTATTTCAGTTGCAATCATCAACAATGCCAGCATCTCCTGAAGATCATCATCTCTTTCAGTAACCCCCCATAGATCATCAACCAGTTCATTTATACAAAAAATTACAAGTCCAACAGCAGAAAGAAACAAGGATGAAGATTTAAATCTAGGGAATATACCATTCAGCACTAGTTTCAAAACTTACATGAACTTCTCGAGATGTAAAATCAATAAAAGTCTTTAAGTCATGATTATTTGTATGACTACAGGCAAACAATTCATATGGGGTAGGCTCTCGATCCAGGGCAAGTGCCTGCAAACAGTGGGATTTAACAAAAAAAAACTATAAACACATCAAATCTGAGCAGAATAACAAAGCCAAATATCAGGAAGTCTATATAGTTGGAAGAGGACTAAGATATATAGTAATCAATGTTAAGAGTAAAAAACTTACAAGTCGTGCAGCATGCTCAATAAATGAGAATGAACCTCCAGTGTTAGAAACTGGTCCTTTATGGCTGCAGCAATTGTTGGATTTCCTGCTTCGTACCTTCTCGTATGCCTCCCTCTTCCAATGATTTTGAAAGCTTACCCACACATCTTCTTGAACGAAAAATGATTTTTCATCCCATTGTCTCAAGTCCCTTGTGAGCTCACGATAACGCTTTGACGCCAATAAATTCCAGGCATCCTTTATCTCCTCTTCCGCTTCAGGTTCCCATGTAAAATGTTTCTACACAAAAGCAAGCAAGTTTGTACATCAGACTCTTGCTATATACATTTTACACAACTCTGAACCTCAATCCTCTAACAGTATTCATACTAGAAAATAGCACCAAACTTCATACTCCACTTAAAGGAACTGAACATAAAAAAAATTAATAAAAAGACCTATTTGCTAATGTATACCCTGATTACAAAGGAGTAAAGGAAATGCTTACCTTGAACTCATTCCAATAGAATTCTTTCATTTCTTTGCTCACTTTGACCAAGTGTATGCTTTGGGTTCCAACCTATCCTCAAACTTGCTTCTGATTTTTCGCGAACATACACTTTGCAAGTTTAACCTATTACAATTACAACAAAACATAATCAAGATATGTCATTAGAGATAAGACCTGAAAAAACAAATTTGGGAACACTTACGTATCTCCAACTACAAATATCTCTCTTGCTTTAGATTTTCGTTTCCTGTCGTTTGGCTTTGCATGATTCTCTAGAATAGTGCGAGCATCTGAAGTTCCTGCTGAATGTTGGTTTCCATCTCCGGCCTGAACTGGGATTGAAATTAGAGGATAACTAGAATATGAAATGTTCCTCCTGTTGGAATCACTGGAATTAGTGACAGGAGTGTTGTTCAGGCTGGGAGGAATGATATCGTCATCTGCAGTACCGTTCTGATTTGAGAAGGATGAAATATGTTCATCCTGAACTGAAGAAGCTCTCCTCGGAATGCCTGATGAATTGTTCCTTATCAAACCCTGGTTAGCACTTAAATTTGCAGTAGAATCATTACATGTACTTGGACTACGACTTAGATTCGAATTGCTACCCGAACCCTGATTTCCTGGAGACTGATTCTGAACTGTAGGAGCTTCTTTCTGAACTGCGTTGTCCTCATTCACTTGAGAATTTCGTGTTGACCTCCTATGCTTAGATGGAACCTTCTTCCGTTTTGTTGCTGGTGCAAGTTCAGGAACCTCGTTCGACTTTGCTGCTGAAAGTTGCTCATAAGTGATCTGGATCGGCGTTCCTGATGCAACATTATCATGAACCTTGTTTGGCTTTGCAGCTGAAAGTTGCTTATCAGTGACCTAGATCAGCTTTGCTGCTGCATCTTTATCAGGAACCTGTTTTGGCGTTGCTGCTGAAAGGTGCTCATCAGGAACTTCGATCGGCTTTGCTGCTGTGACTTTATCAGGAACCTAGTTCAGCGTTCCTGATGCAAGGTTCTCAGGAACCATATTCAGCTTTTCTACAGCATGGTTATCAGGAACTTGCTTCTGCTGTTCGGTTGCAAGTTTCTCAAGAACGTGGTTCGGCTTCTATGCTGAAAGTTGGTCATGAGGGTGCAGGATCGGCTTTTCAGCTGCAAGTTGGTTAGGAACCTCATTCTGGTTTTTTCTTCTGTAGGTTTATCAACTACAATGGGACTGGAGTCATCATTCAAACTCTGAGAGGGGGACTGAATTCTTTGCTTGACGTGCTGGCTTTCTGATCTTGGGAACTTGGTTCTACGATACAACTCCTGCAACGTTATGAACAGAAGCTCCTGCAGTACTTTGTTTTGAAGATCCTGCAGTCAGCTGAACTGAAGCTCCTGCAGTACTCTGTTTTGAAGATCCGGCAGTCAGCTGAACTGAAGCTCCTGCATTTTCCTGAATTAGAGGAATGATATTGCAATACAAAAGTGACTTTCTTGTTCCTGGACGCATGATATCCATTGCAGGTACTTCTTTTGATCCAGCCTCAATCTTAACCTGAAGTAGCTTTGCTGCATTACCTTTCACCATATCTACAACAGAAACACAAACAAATACAGAAATGCATGAGCGAAACAAATCTGATTCGAGACAGAAATGCAACATATACTAAAACATAAACATATCTGATTCCTTCAGTTAGTGCATCAACAAAAATTTACAAAAAGAAAAAGACAGAAATGCTTTATGAGAATCACCTGTAAGTATAGAGATTCTGGATGTGATTTTTTTACCATGTTAATATACAAAGATAGTGTTTTGATGCGCTAAAAAAATACAAAGTACGCAACTACAAAACACAAAAGAAAAACTAAGCCTACAAGATGACTATTCCCTATCGCTAAAAATGTTATCATCCTCATCTTCCAAGTCAACATAAACACCATTTGCATCATTTAAAGGTACAACATCATCATCAATAACATCAAATACATAATTTTCTACTTCTGTGGCTTGGAAAGCCACATCAAGTGCATGGACATTAAAATCAGCCCTAGGCTTGATTTTACACACAGACCACCAATCACTTTTGTATTTCTTCATGCTTGGATAAGGTGTGTAGTACACTTCTTGAGCTTGCGAAGCCAAAACAAAAAGTTCATACTTCCCGAACCTTTTTTATGGTTGATATCAACAAGATTGTATTTTTTATGAATCTTTATCCTGACATTGGGAGTTGTATCATACCAATGACACTTGAGCAAAACAACACATTTCATAGGAAGCCCAGGGTACTCTAATTCCACAAATTCCGTCAAAGTGCCATAATAATCACTTGATTGATTACTATAATTAGACCCCATTATGCACACTCCATTATTGAATGTTGATCTCATCTCTCCATGCTTACATGTGCGGAATTTTTACCCATTAACAACATACATTGGAAAAGTCTTCACATTTTGTAAAGGGCCAAGGGCAACATCTTTGATGAGCTTATTATTGATGTTGCTCCTTGATCATGTGCCTATATTACAAATTCAAAGTCAATATGGACTATAAACCTAAAAAGAATTACCTATGTATTTATGAGACACTTACATAGGCTCAAAACCAATCTACGAATTCCCTCTCGAGCTTGAAATCAACTAGCGCATGAGATATATTGTGTTCTCTTGCATGAAGCTCCTCAATGAATACTCTTCAACATATATATTTCAAATTAGAAGTCATAATAAGTTAATGGGAAAAACTAACTTATTGGAATGGATTCCAACAACTTACTTGATATACTCATCAATTTCTTTACAATTTAGTAAGATGTAGGACCTTGCGGCATCATACTCTTCATCGGTCAAGCATCTTGATATTGGTTGCCCATATGATCGGCCGGAGAATGTGCATATAGATAGATTCTTGTCATTAAAATTCACGGTCCCGCCATCATCATTACGAGCAACTCGATTCATTTTTGTGCTCACATGAGGCACAAAATAATGTGAGCAAAATATTGAAGTTTCTTCGACCAAATAAGCATTACATATTGAGCCTTCATCTCTTGCTTTGTTGGTCACTTTCATTTTCAATTTTTGCAATAATTCAAGTTACATAAAAAAAACTAATATTTACATGAAAACCTTAGAAAGAATAAAAAATTATTAAAAAGAAAAAAATTTGAACTAACCTTTCAAATGGACACATCTAACGATATTGAACGGGTCCCTCAAGTCTTGCTTCATAGGGTAAATGAATCGGAAGATGTTCCATGGAGTCAAAGAAACTTGGATGAAAAATTCGCTCCAACTTGCACAAAATAATGGGAATTTCCCTTTGAAGCCTAAGGATATCTTCTTCTTTTATCTCGGTACTGTGAGATCTCTAAAGAACAAGCTTAACTCGGTTAAAGCTTTCCAAACATTGGCAGGCAATATTTCTCAAAAAGCAATGGGGATTAGTCTTTGCATAATACATGGCAATCATGACTTTTCATCCCAAACAACTTGTACTTGTTCAAGTCCACACATCTACCCATATTTGAAACATACCCATCAGGGAACTTGAGTTGTATCACCCATTCACAAACCACTTTCTTCTCCGTTTTTCCCAATGAATAACAAGCTTTTGGAAAAACTTGCCGGTTGCTTCATCTTTTTCCAACTCTTTACGCTTGCAATAAAGTTTAATATCCTCTCTTGCTTTAGGATTATCTTTACCTTTTTCTTCAATGTTCATCACTGTCTCAAAAACATTTTTCTCTATGTGCATGACATCAAGATTATGACGGATGAGATTAGTACTCCAATACGGCAAGTCCCAAGATATAATCTTCTTCCTCCAACCACAAGACTTGCATATGGGAGCATTTAACATTTCCCCATCAACTTCGGTAATTTTTTTAATCCCAAAGCTGAAATTTCTCTTAAAACTTCTTCACCCATCAATGTCGGACGAGGTAGAGACATTTCGGTGCTATTTTTTTTGTGAAATCATTTTTGTTTCTTCTAAAAGGATGATCTTCCGGCAAAAATTGGCAATGGCAATCAAACCAAGACGGCTTACCACCATTCTTTAGTTGAAAGGCTTTTGAGTTCTCCATATAATATGGACAAGCTTTCTTTCCCGTGGTACTTCACCCCGAAAACATTCCATAAGCCGGGAAATCACCAATAGTCCACATTAGTCCGACTCTCATATGAAAGTTAGTTTTGGGGGAAACATCATATGTGGGAACACCTTCCCAAAGAGCTAACAATTCGGCTATCAAAGGCTGCAAATAAACATCTAACTTTTGCTTCAGATTTCTCGGACCCGGCACAATAATGGTTAAAAACATATATTCTTCTTTCATGCACATCCATGGTGGCAAATTGTAACAAGAATATTGCTTCCCCGATTGACCAAATGGTTGAAACCCATCCGTGCATAAACCGAGTCTTACATTTCTCGATTCCAATGCAAAAGAACTATTTATTGCATCAAAATGATTCCATGCCTCGCCATCTGAAGGATGACGCATAACACCTTGGTTATCATGCTCTTTATGCCACCTGATGTGTTTTGCGGTGGCTTCGGAAGCATACAACCTTTGAAGCCTAGGGGTAAGAGGAAAATAATGCATGATTTTATGTGGCTTTCCCGTTTTTCTTCTCTTAGCACCTTCATTTTGCGGTTTATACCGAGCATGGCCACAACTTGTGCAATTTATGAGGCTTATGTTCTCACCCCAAAATAACATACATCCATTCACACAACAATGGATTTTCTCACACGGTAAACCCAAATCAGAAGCTAACTTTTTTGTTTCATAAAAGCTATCCACCAATTTATTTTCGGGAGGAATTGAATCCTTGAATAACTCCAAGATTACCATCATAGGCTTTCTCAGACAACCCGTGTTGTGATTTGATATTCAATAATCTAGCAACATGTGACAATTGAGAGACTTTTGAACATCCCGGATATAAGGGTTCATCGGCCTTTTGGATCATGTTATACAATCTTTGAGTTTTTGGGTCGGGGGGCTCTTCATAACCACTACTTTCCCCAAAGTGTGGATCAAAGTTAGGACCAATCACATCTATGACTATGTCACGATATGTGTTTGATCCCAAGACATTTCCAACATTGTGATGGGTTTGCGATGAAGTCTCACCCCTTGGTTCTTCTCCATGGCAAGCCCAATCATCATAGTCATCAATGAAACCCTTCTTAAGAAGGTGTAACTTGGCTTCATCGGGTAAAATATATCCTTTGTTCTTACATCACAACAAGGACACCGTATCTTATCAATGTCCATAAAAGCGGGTTTTGAACAAGCAACTTCAATGAATGACTCAACCCAGGCAACAAAATCGAGATTTATGGACCTACTCCCTTCTAAATGTCTCTCATACATCCACTGACGGTCGGTTCTCATCTAGATATTCAAAATTAATAAGGTTTAGAATAATTCATGACCTAATCTACTACTAACAATATCATATTCACCACACAAAAAATAAAACAGCAAAGAGAAGAAAGGTTTAATTTGCAGCATCACATATATACATTTGGAAATTAGATCACATGCATTTCATCAAAATATCATTTAAAAAATACCATTACATGGCATGCATCACATAATCTTTAAAAACAGAACATAGCAACATGCATCACATGAATTTATTTATGAACATATCATTGATGGCCATTGTTCATTAAAAAAAATAAAAAGGCATCATGCATATATAATCAGTTATTTTCAAGCAATATTAGTTTAATACATACTTCAGTACAAATTCAATGCATCAAAAAACATGTCCTACATGTCACGACAAAAAGTGATAAGTGAGAGAACTATTTACTTGATCACAGCTTAAACTTTTTATCACCAACTTTCACTAGTTGCTCAATGAGAACTCCACAATGTGTACTCTTCAATCAGATGTCAAAATAAAACAAATTTTACAGCTGCTGCAAAGCACACATTAAACCAAAAGCAGGAACTGTTTGTTCTAACCTAAAGCACAAATTAAACCAGCTACTATAAAGAAAACCGCATTTAGGCGCAAAACTAAAATATGATCTAAAATCAGATAGCCAAGAGAGAGAATAGAAGGAAATCTAATCTGAAATCAACTCAACATGCTGATTATCTGATTTCGCCTAACCTAAAGCACACATTAAACCTGCTACTATAAAGAAAACAACATTTAGACGCAAAACTAAAACCTAATCTGAAATCAGATAGCTAACAGAGTACGAATTCTAAAATAAGATAGCCATCACAGGAAGATTTCTAAAATTTGATAGCCAACTATGAGGATTTCTGAAATCTGATCGCCAACTAAGGAGGACTTCAAAAGCAGCATGCTCGATAACTAACCAAATAATGCACAAACCTGATTGCACAATCTGACAGATGTCTAATTATGCAAAGAAAAAAACCCCCCACAAAAACATAGCTAACATGCATCATTCTCTGATGGAGGTAAACAGAATCTACAATGGAAGTTGGTCAAACATGCAATGCTGTCACCAAGGTAAAACAGTAACAACAATGTTGTCACCAACTATAGATAACAAAATTTGCAAATAAATTACAGTTCCTG